GCCGTCTTGGGTTCCTCCTGGGCTGGCTTTGGGGCCTCTTTGGCTGTCTCGGGGGGTTCCGTGAGCCCCACAGGCCCACCCTTTTGGGCCGTCTGGGGTCCTCTTGGGTCTCTCTTGGGCTGTCTTGGGGCTCCTCGGGGGCGTCTGGGGCTCTGCGAAGACGAAGCCAGCGAGTATGCTGAAAATGTACGTTTTATAAAGGAAATGGGCAGATTGTTGCCTCTTGAAGGCCCTCTCGGGGCGCTCTTGGGCGTCTTGGGGGCCTCTTCAAGCTTTCTGGACAATCTATACAGCCCGCGTGGCCTGTCGTGGGCAATTTGGAAGCGGCCCGGGGCAGTCCCGGGGGGGTCCCCCAAAGGTTCGGGGGGGCGGCCATGGGGGATGACGGCACCGATTTTGGCCCCTCCCCTGGCCTACTCACATATATATATATATATATGTATGTAAAATGTGTTGGTGGTGCCGACAAGAGGAGCTTTGGCGGCCCCGACTCCCGAGTTATAGTCAAGCTACTACCATGAGAAATTCGAAATGAGGGGCAGAGTCCCATTTTGACCCTCAGGGCGAAAGGGTCCACGAGTAGCGCTAGAGGGGCAACCCTGGAGGGACCAAAGGAACAGCGAGCCCCTTCCGAACACAGTGTTTCTCATTTCAACGTCTGGACTGCAGTTAATAGGGTTCTCGACGGGCCGAATTCTCTGAGCCCAACTCGAGGATATACGATGCCAGGGGTTTCCATCCTCCATCGGAGTGAATCGGGCGACCCCCCGAGGGGGAACGAAAAGGTACCGACACTGTTTCTTCCCTGACCTCTTATGGGATGCGTTCTGACATGGATTTCGCAGCAAAACCAGCCGTGTGGCGACTTGGGACGGGTAGCAGCATCGGTATCTTTCCCTCCTCTGATCCCAGGGGTGTGTCCCAGGGTGTTCTGAGGGGCAACGATAGCGGGGGACTGGCCTGGGAGGGGGTGCATCGACCTGAAATCGGCGATACATCGCCGATAGATCGGCGATGGGCCCGCGATCGTGAATCCGCGCCTTCCTGGGCAGGTTGGGGCTATCGGGCCCCTATCGGCGATCCATGTACAGTCGGGGGCTTGACCTAAGGAACCCAAAATAAGGAACGAGGCCGCCTTTTTCCATAAGTTGAACTTCGATTTCGCATCGGAAACCTAAGGAAAACCTGAGGCAAGCTGCGAAACACTTCAGGAACGCGGAGCCCCTCCCCGACGAAAAGGGTTCCTTCTCCAGGGCCCCGGCTGTAGGCCCGCGATCGTGAACCCGCGCCTTCCTGGGCAGGCTGGGGCCATCGGGCCCCCTACCGGCGATCCGTGCATCGCCCCCTGTGCCGATCCCCGCCCCCCTCCGTCGCTGCCCCCGATGCTCCCCCCGTCTGCGAGAGAACGGCTCGGGGACGGGGGGCGAGGGCGAAGAGTCGCCCGCGGGAGGCCCGGCCAGCCCGCATCCTGGAAGGGCAGCGCCCTCTCGAAGCATGAGGGGCAGTGCCGAGGGCTATGCCCAACAGCAAATGTTGTCCCAAACCAACAGCGGCCGCTGTTTCGCAGGCGGCCTTCTGTCTCGAATGGACAGAGGCCGCGGCGGCGCGGACAGCGAGAGTCCTGTTCAAAAGGAGTAGGAACTGCTGTTGGGCATTGTACCCGCTCGTTCCGTGCCCATTTCGGGCGTCCAGAGCTCAGGGGGAGAACCCTCGAGCCTGGACCGGCGATGCCTCGCCGACAGATCGGCGATGGGTCCCCGACAGCTGGTGAGACCGCACGCTCACGGGCGGGGGGGTGGGCTGTCGGGACCCCATCAGCGTGAGCGATTGGGGGTTTGCGCATCCCCCCGTGAGCCGATCACCCCCGCAACGTTGCCCCTCAGCTGCAGGGGCCCAAGGACACACAAATAAACACACACACACACACACAAATCACAGGATTCCCCATATGTCTCCGTATTTGCTGGGATTTTTGTCGTCCCCCCCCACCAGTTCCCATCTTGTCCAATGTTTTCTAGGGAATCGACGATTCATTGCGTCTGTGTGTTTGTCTCCCCTCCTGATGAACAACGGTCGACGCCTGGGCGCGTGCCAACAGCAGCGGATCGGCCGCTGCTCGACTTTCCAGCCCTGGCCGCAACGAGTCGAGTCCCAGACGGCATCGAGATCGGACCGGGGCAGCTCGGGGACCGCTGGGATCCTGCAGCTCTGGGAGATGTTGGGCGCCGTGGCGGCTCCCGAGCGATCCAGAACACCCTGAGAGCGCTCTGGACCGCTCTAGCACGATTCATCTTGGGTCGGGCATGTCCTCCTACAGGCGGATTTTGGAGGAAAAACAAAAGACAGTCAAATAGCACCCCCAAATCACAACAAGTAAAAACCATCGTCCCCAAAACTATGTTTGACCATTCCCCCTGTAGAAGGACATGCCCGACTTGATTCTAGCCCCGCCCTGTCTAACCCGCTTGCTGCAACTGGGGGGGTGTCTGGGGGACAGATCACGACCTGAACCCTGGAGCCCCTCTTCCTGCTGCACTCTTCGCGCGGGATCGATCCGTGCGTGCTGCTCCCTGGGCCCACCACTGGGCGACAACGTCTGGCGCGGAACAGCGGCCGCGCCAGGGTCTCGATGGGGCCTCCTAGATAGGGCCCGCGTAGACAGGGCCGGAGGACCGCGCCGTGCTGCCCCACGCATCGGCGATGCATGGGCGACGTCGGCGATGCATCGGCGCCATCGGCGTGGAGAAACTCGGGCTCCACATCGAGCCGCTCTGTCCTTGGGTCCAAAACTACGCGAAAACGCCAAGCGTGAACAAGAGTGCCACGCCAGGGTCTCTGGAGGCCTCCTACATAGAGGCCGAGTGGATCAGCGTCGGAAGATCGCGCCGTGTCGCCCCGCGCGTTTGGCGATGCATCGGCGAAGCATGGGCGACGTCGGCGATGCATCGGCGCCATCGGCCTGGAGAAACTCGGGCGCCACATCGAGATGCATCAGCGGTACATCGGAGATGCGGCGCGATCCTCCGACCCCATCAGATGAGGTCGGAGGACCGCGCGACGCCTTGGGAAACTGAGCGCGGGGCCCTGCGATCGTCCGCCGCGGGCCTTCTGGCCACATGCCACCCCGAGGAGCGCAGCCGAAGACCCGGTGCACGGGCGAAGGAGGGCCGTGCCGAGGGCAGGCAGCACCAAGCAGGGAGGGCCAGGGCGAAGGCTTCTTCCTGATGTCAAACATTCTCAGGAGGGCAAGGAACACACAGACACGATGAATCGTCGCTTCCCAGGAAAGTATGGGAAAAAGTGGGGCGTGGGGGGGATGACGAAAACAGCGAAAATTTGGGAAATTGCTAGGGAATCCTGTCATTTGGGTGCACTTAGCTGTATGTGTGTGTGTGTGTCCTTGGCTCCCTTGACACTCACCTCAATGGGTCTTTGCTGGCCCGGGGCCGGGCACCTGCTCGGACCCCGTCCCCCGAAGGCCCGGAGGAGGCTCGGAGAATGGGCGCCTCCTGGATTCAAGGGGCCAAGGACACACACACACACACACACATAGATGCACGCAAATAACAGGATTCTCCACATTTTCCAATATGTGCTGGGTTTTCGTCTCCCCCCCCACTTCCAATCTGTTCCCATAGTTTCCTGGGGATCGACGACTCCTTGTGTCTGTGTGTGCTTTTCCCCTCCTGACAGAGGAAGCTCTCGGAGAATGGAGGCCTCCTGGATGGGGCCCAGGCAGAACAAATTACGCTCGCCTGCCCTCCCAGGCCACCCTGACGGACAGCATGAAGGCGATGCGATGCACCTCATTTTTTTTTCTAAGCTGTTGCAGCCGAGGATCGAAGAATTGGGCCTTCGTCCCCAAAATCCCTTGAGCCAAAAGGGCTACGGTGCCATCGACCGCTCCATTTGTTCCTGCCTGCACACGTGCACTCCCCATGGGGTCGGAGGATGCGTCGGCCATGCGCCGGCAACGTCGTCGATGCATCGGCGATCGTCGGCGCGGAGAGAACTGGGCCCCAGATGCCGGAGGGTTCCAAAGGGGTTTTTTTTGAGGAGGGGGTTTTCCAGGAGGGGCCCTCCAGGGACTTCGCACCCCCTGTTTTGACGAGGCTCCGAGGCCCCTGGGAGGCTCTCTGGAAAAAAAACCTCTCCAAAAACCCCCTTTGGAACCCTCTGGACGTGGAGCCGCATCGCTGATGCATCGCCGATGCGTCGGCGATGCGGCGCGATCCTCCGACGCCATCTCCGCTTGGGTCGGGCATGTCCTCCTGCAGGCGGATCTTGGAGGAAAGATAAACAACAGGCAAAACATGCGCAACGATAATCGAAACATCGTCCCCAGACTATTCTTGGACTACTCTTGGACATTCCTCCTGTGGAGGGACAGACCCGACTTCAATCTACTCCGACCCCATCTAGGAGGCCTACTATCTTTGTAAGGAGTTACTGGGAGGTTTTGATCGGAAAGATTCAGGGGAATCAAGCCCCACTGGAGGGGGGGGCCACTACGCAAAGTTAGGCCGCGGATTGACTGGGATTCGGCCGGATTCAGCCAGATCAAGCCGGATCAAGCGGGACTAAGGAGCCGGATTGAGCCGGATTTCGGACCAGGGGAGAGCCAGAACCTGACCTGCCAGGAGCTGCATCCGAAAAACTATCGAGGGAGGAGGCCGAGTCGGGCGGTTAAAGCAGGGCCAGGATCGGGATAAATCGCTCCAGAGCAATGCCGGAGCGCTCCCAGAGCGTTCCGGAACGCTCTGGAGCGGCCGCGGCGCCCAACACATCCTCCAGGCCCGCCGATCCTCAGAGATTTCGAGGTGTCCCGATCCGAAATTGTCCCGATCTTCGCGTCGTTTTCAGGGAGGAGGCCGGGTCGGGCGGTCGCGGCCGCCGGCCCGCCGCGGGCCCGGGCTGCGCAGCGGAGGTCGGCGGGCGGCGCGCCCGCGGGCGGAGGCGGGGGGGCGCACGCGCGGCGGGGCGGCCCCGCGGGCGGCGGCCTCGGGGCACGCGGACTCGGAGCCGTCGTGGTCCCACCGGACCTGCCACCGGGGGGGGGCTTTGCTGGGAGCTCTCTGCTGCGAGGCAGGGGTTTGTCCGCATCCACCGCCTGGGAGCCGACGTGCTGGTGCCCCAGCGGGCGGTGGATATGGATATGGATATGGATATGGATATGGATATGGATATGGATATATATATATATGTATATATATATATATGTGTGTATATGTATGTATATATATATATATATATATGTACATGTGTGTATATATATATATATATATATATATATATTGGAACCCGAGGGCCCGAATATGTCCAGATCCACCGCCTGTGGAGGTCCGCCTCGGACTTCTGCCCCCTCATGTCGGCGGCGAGCGAGGGGGGGAAGGTGAAGAGGGGCGGGCCTTCTCAGAAGGGTCGGAAGTCCCCCAGCCACGGCCGAGGTTCTCTAAGCCTTCCCAAGAAGGCGCACAAAACTTGTCAGAAGGCGCGAGGGTTTCGGAGAAATCCCGCCGCCTTCTAAGAAGACCTTCTCCTCACTTCCCCCCCCCCTCGCTTGCCGCCGATCAGAAGGAGCCAACTCCCCCAGAACGTGATGTCTCTCTATAGAAAAACATGGCGGGACTGAACCCACAATTGCTGGCCTCCCGGGACCCTCGCCGGGACTTCCGGGACCGTCAAAAACAACTCGGGATGGAAAGCCCGCCCTGGGGAGCGGGTCGGGAAATCTGGGGCCCCGTAGAAAGCACACAAGACATCGCATGTCTGGGGAGGAAACTCCTGGAAGGTGTTCCCTTCTCGAACTCCTCCTCCTCCTCCTCCTCCTCCTCCTCCTCCTCCTCCTCCTCCTCCTCCTCCTCCTCCTCCTCCTCCTCCTCCTCCTCCTCCTCCTCCTCCTCCTCCCCTCCTCCTCCTCCTCCTCCTCCTCTCCTCCTCCTCCTCCTTCCTCCTCCTCGTTCTGCTCCTCGTCTCCTCCTCCTCCTCCTGCTCCTCCTACTCTCCTCTCTCCTCCTCCTCCTCCTCCTCTCACGTTGCACGGACATGAAGCACGGGCTTGTGGCGTTAATTTTCCTCCTCCTCGGACTCCTCGTCCTCCTCCTCCTCCTCCTCCTGCTCGTCCTCTCCTCCTCCTCCTCCCTCTCTCCTCCTCCCTCCTCCTCCTCCTCCTCCTCCTCCTCCTCTCCTCCTCCTCCTTCTCCTCCTCCCTCCTCCTCATCATCATCATCCTCATCCTCATCCTGATCCTGATCCTGATCCTCCTGATCCTGATCCTGATCCTGATCCTGATCCTGATCCTGATCATCATCCTCATCCTCATCCTCATCCTCATCCTCATCCTCATCCTCATCCTCATCCATCCCCCTCCCTCCTCCTCCTCCTCCTCCTCTCCTCCTCCTCCTCCTCCTCCTCCTCCTCCTCCTCCCCCCTCCTTCTCCTGCTCGTCCTCCTCGTCTTCCTCCTCGTCCTCCTCCTCCTCCTCCTTTTCCTCCCTCCCCGCCTCACCCTCCTGCCCCCCTCCCCTCCCCTTGCGCGCGCGGGCGGCGGGAAAGGACGAGGATGACGATGGAAAACGGAAAATCGACTATCAGAATCTGCAGCGCGGGAGGGAAGTCGGCGGGGCTCCTCAGAAGCTTGCCCGCCTTCTGAGAAGCCCTCTGCGGCTTCGGAGCAGGCTCAGAAATAGAAGGGCCCAGGGACACACACACAATAGATACACACAAATCCAGGATTCCCAATATTTGCTCACACGTTGTCTGAGTTTTCGTCTTCCCCCCAACTTCCCATATGTTCACATATTTTCCGAGGACTCCACGATGTGTTGTGTCTGTATGTGTTTCCCCTTCCTGAAGAAAGCTCCAAGGAAGGCCACAGGCCTTCTGAGCCCTCCGAGAAGGCCCGCTCCCTCCTGCCTTCTCCCCCCCGGGCGCGGCACCGACGTGCGCTGGTACTAACGTCAGCTTCTAGAGAAAGAAACACCGGCACAACCATGCACTTTTGGCGCTCCGCGCGGATCTCTTGGATCTGCGCTGGACTCCCCTCCCTGGCGCGCGGAACGCGCTAGCGGCAGCGCCAGGGGCGCCGCCGGGAGGGGGGGGGGGGCAGCGCTCGTACTGACGCAGGGCTCGACCGAAACATTGTTTTTCGTTCTCGTTTTGGTTTCCTTTCCCTCCGTTTTGTCGTGGATCCGTCCTTGCTGCAGAACTACGCCGAAACGAAAACGGCGCACGAGATCGCTAGAACGCCGTGGAGGTCCACCCCTGCACAAACGTGCGCTCGTGCACCGAAGCCCTTCCGTGCGACGCAGGCTGTGCACTAGGGTTATGTTGCTCCCATCGTGCTTAAGGACCACATCCCAGAAATAATTTCGAGCACCCGGAAAAGTGTCGAAAGAGTGTCGAAACAGTGTCGAGAGAGTGTCTCCCAGGGCCCGACACGCGAAAACCCTTGAGTTTTGGGGTACTTTTCTGGCGCTCGAAATTCTTTCTGGTGATCAAGGCTAAAGTAGGTTGGAACATCATAATACCAGGGGTCGGCGTAGGCTGAGTGCTGTCGATGGAGCGGAGCTGGGGGGGGGGACGCGGGGAGGGAGACCCGGCCGAGGGAGGGACACCTCGAGCTTGCATCGGAGGTGCACCGCCGGCAGATCGGCGACGGTCGGGGGCGCGCAGGCATGGAGCAGCGGTCCATGCATCTGGCGCGCGGTCGCCAGATCCATACATCGGGGGAGGTGCCCTCCCCAAACATGCGGCCGTTGCCGCCTCGCTCGGCGGCGGGCATCTGCGATTTCCAGCGGAAACGGGGCCCGTCGCTAATTGGCCTACCTACCAAACCACCCAACCCAACCCGAAGACCCGAATTTCGCCCGAACTTCGGGTTGGGGGGGGGGGGGGGTACGGGCTTCATACGCGTTTTTCCAGTGTTCATCGGCCCCCCCCACCAGAAATGGAGGGCAAATTGGGGCCTTCGGGTTGGGTTGCGGTAGTTTGGTGGGCGGTCCCACGCTGCGCCCGCCCCGAGATCCGGGGGCGTCCACATGGGGCCTCCCAGAGGAGCGACTATCAGACACGGGTCTTGCAGTGGAAGCCCATGCCAAGAACCCCCCTGCTTGCTTGCCTCCAGGGCGCCCTGCATTTCTTAGGCTTCGACGGCTTTGCTATGCAAAGCGTGACGTGCCCACATCAAAAGTCAATGGACGTCCTGGGGACTCAGGGTGTGGTTTCTTGTGGAAGCCTTCTTGTGGTCGAGCTACTACTGTACGCGAGATGGCACAGCGTCCTCGCGCGGCGACTTACGGAGGCCGCGACCGCGGCACGCCACAGTGGAGACGAGGGCGCTCACGCGCGGCCGTACGCGAGCAGCTTACGAGCCCATCTCGGTGAAGACGACCCCCTTCTTTTGCGTCGCTCAAGTGGGGTCGGAGGATCTCGCCGCATCGCATCGCCGATACGTCGGCGATGCATTGGCGATGCGTTGGTGTGGTTTTTGGTGGGCGGTGATGGATCGGCGACAGGCCTCCGACAGCGACGCCGCACGCTCCTGTGCGGGATGGGCTCCCTCCCCCCCCCCCAGCGTTGCCCCCGAGATCGGCGGAGCCGAGCTGGGTGACCACGCCCATCGGTCGGAAGAAGTAAGTAGAAACATGAAGTGGGAAGGCGTTGAAAGTAGATTGGGTTACGTCCGCCCGCTAAGGAGGACGGAAAAGGTCAAGCTACTCGATCATTGAAGTAGGAAGGCGCTTAACGTAGATTGGAATCTGGGAATCCTCCAACAAAAAAAGTACTTTCAACGACCAATGGGTACGCGAAGCTACTGCAACGCAAGGCTTTATGAAGGGGGCCCATGGGCACGCAAACACACACACACACACACACACACGCACGCACACGCACACGCACACGCAAAAGCACACACACACACACACGCGCGCGCACGCACGCACGCACGCACGCACGCACGCACGCACGCACGCACGCACGCACCACACACACACACACACACCACACACACACACCACACACACCACACACACACACACACACGCACACTCTCACACACACTCACACACACTCACACACACACACACACACCACACACACACACACGCACGCACGCACGCGCGCGCACACACACACGAACCCTGGGGTTCCCCCCCTATGTTCTCGTCTACCTTCTGGGTTCTCGTCTTGCCCCCCTCCCCCTCCCGTAGTTTCCGGCACCCTCCCCGGGGATCGACGCCGCGCTGTGCCTGCGTGCCGCTGCCCCTCCCGGAAGGAAGGGCTCCCCCCCCCTCCTCCCCGCGACAGCGGCGCGGAGGTCGGGCCACGGGCCCCCTCTCCCCCCCAGGAGTTACGTCGGGCCCGTCCCTCTACAGGAGGGACATTCGAAAAGAGTAAAAAAACATAGTATGGGGACGATTTGGGTTTTTTTCGTTTGGGACCATTTTTGAATATATATATATGTATATATATTGACCATGCTGAACTTTTCCTCGAAGATCCCCTTGTAGGGGGACAGGCCCGACTTCACCCCAGAGGGCCCCAGGCCGCTGGCCCCCCTGACAGGGCCCGCTCGGGAAGACCCCGGGCGCAGCCAGAGGGAAGCTCCGGGCGCGGCGAGGCCATGGCAGACAGCCCGCGCAGTAAGGGTGCGCGATAAGGACGCAAGGGCCTTGGAAGGCCACGTCGAAGCTTTTCGAGCGGGGCGCGGCCAACGAACGTGGCCAAGGATGGACCGCGGAGGCAGGGATGCAAGGGTATCCTTGGGAAGGTGGCCCATCCTTATACTATGCGGGCTGACTGTGCTCGCAAATGGCCCGGATCCCACGCGGGGGATCTACGATAAAATACATCAAGGCAGACATGTGTTTTTTGGACGTTTGCGAGTAGGCACTTTGCGAGTAGTGGAACGCGCTCGGCGACATGGAAGCGGCCTCGGGGGAAGGGCGACGAGAAAGAAGGAGGTCAGGCCAGGGCGAGTTCAGACTCAGGCGCACCCAGAAGTACTAGAGAAACCACAAACATGCACCAATAGCAACTCTTGGCGCTCCGCGGATTTTTTGGGATCTGCGCTGGATCCCCCTCCCTGGAGCGCGGGGCGCGCCAGGGGCGGCGCCGGAGGCGCCGCCAGGGCGCTCCAAGAAATCCGCGCGGAGCGCCAACATAAGCTTTGGGCGCGGCGAGGCGATGAGAAGGCCTCGGGGGAAGGACGATAAGAAGGAAGAATAAGGTCAGACCAGGGCGACTTGAGACAACGGTGGTTGGCATCCGGGGGGCCCTCTCGTCGCCACGGCTGGACGCAGGTCGGAAAACGTGTTTTTGGACCCCGTCTGGGGACCGGGTTCGAGCTGCCGGTGCGTCAACTCGCTCTTCTCCACGGAGGAGGGGCGAGGAGGAGGAGTGGGATGAAGGGGGTAGGAATAGAAGAAGAAAAAGCGCCATAAACATAATCCTTTTGCGCTCAACGCGGATTTCTTGGATCCCTGCTGGACCCCCTCCCTGGCGCGCCGAGCGCGCCAGGGGGGGCGCCGGAGGCGCCGCCGACGGGCCCAGCGCGGATCCAAGAAGTCCGCGCGGAGCGCCACAATTTTATGTATGTGGCGTTTCTCCTTCGCCTTGGAAGGAAAATAAGGAAATGCGACAAGATGAAGGACGCCTTCTTTCGCTTCCCGGGTGACTCTCACGAAGGAGGGCCGAATCAGCCAGCAGCAAACCGTTCGGGCCGGCGCCCAGAGCGCTGCCCGTGCCCGTGCGGCTCCACGGGCCGAGCCCTACCCCCCCAGAGGGGGAGAGGAGAAGAAGCGATGGGGGAGCAGGAGGCGATGGGGGAAGATGCGAGGGGGGGGGAGGAGGAGGAGGAGGAGGAGGAGGAGGAGGAGGAGGAGGAAGAGGGGGGGGGGGAGGAGAGGAGGAGGAGGAGGAGGAGGAGGAGGAGGAGGAGGAGGAGGAGGAGGAGAGGAGGAGGAGGAGGAGGAGGAGGAGGAGGAGGAGGGAGGAGGAGGAGGAGGAGGAGGAGGAGGGAGGAAGAGAGGGGGAGGAGGGGGAGGAGGAGGAGGTGGAGGAGGAGGAAGAGGAGGAGGAGAAGGAGGAGGAAGAGGAAGAGGAGGAGGCGAGGGGTAAGAAGAAGACCCTTCTTGCCCCGGCGCCGTGGAAGATGGAGGGGGTCAGTGAGGACGGAAAACGGGGAAAGGGCAGAGGAGAGGGAGTGAGGGCGGATGAGGACGGACGAGCGAGTTACATGAAGGAGGGAGCGACGAAGGATGCAGAAAGGGAGGGAGAGCGGGGGAAGGAGGCGGACATAAGATGAGCAGGACGAGGAGGATCCAGAGGACGAAGAGAGACGGGGGAAGGGGGTTGAGGAGAAGAGGCGCGCGACCAGGGCGGGAATCGTGAGGTTAAGCAAGATATCGCTGCAGGATACGACCGCTTCATCGTCCTCCGTTGCCGTCTCCCTCTCTTCCTCATCCTTGTCCTCCTCTGTCTCCTCCTTCTTCTCCTCGTTCTCCTTCTCTACCTTCTTCTCCTCCTTCTCCTCCTCCTCCTCCTCCTCCTCCTCCTCCTCCTCCTCCATCCGCTTCGTCCTCCCCGCTTTCCCTCCTCCTTCTCCTCGCTCTTCTCCTCCCCCTCCTACTCCGATCACCTTCTCACGAAACAGCCAGACAGATACTCGAACGAAACAGTCGCCTTCACGCTGCCATTCGAGATCTCCACAATGGTGACGCTGAAGAAGCTGTTGCCGTACTTCGCCTCGGGCGAGTGCGGGGCCGTGGGGCGAGGCTGGGCGGACCTGAAGGAAGAGCTGTTCGGATGCAAAAGGAAACGCAAGAGTGCCCAAGCAGGCACAAGGAGCAGTCAAATGCAGGGTTCCAGTCGGGGATGGACAGACCCCCCTTTAGTAAAACGTGGTTTAGTGAAAACGACCTGAGGCCCAAACCTGGCGGGCGCAAGCCTGGAAAATAACGGCCACGGCGCCCCCTCGAGAACCGAGAACGGACAATTCACTAATCGACGTGTCACTGTTGGGGGTTCTGTCCACCCCCGATCCAGGGCTTCCAGGAGGCGGCAGAGAACGAAACCCACCGAGCAGGACACACTATATCTCTTGCTGCCCGCGGATCCTCACGCCGATGCCCGGCTGCCGAGGGACATTCGGCTGCGCGCGTGACCCCAAGGCACGAGTGGCCCTCGATGCGGCACCCCAAAGGCGCTCCAGGCAGCCCGGAAAAAAGGCCCGAACACCTCCCCCTGGGAAGGAGCCCACAAAGGACGTACGCGCCCAACTATGTACATGAACACGGCCCCTCGATCCGCGAGACCGGCCGCGTTATACGAACATTTGCGCAATGCGTACTCTCGAAACCAGCGTGGATTCATGTACGTGTACGTCCTTTTGTCGCTCCTGACCTGGGAAGTCTCTAGCTGCCTCCTGAAACCTCCGGGAGCCTGAAAGGCCACAACACCACACACAAGCCTCGACCGTGCAAGCGCGGTCCTGTTCCTTCCCTCCCTCTCCCTTCTCCTCCCTCCTCCTGTGCCGTTGAAGGCCGTGCATTTGCAAAATCCAACGCTCCGCTGGTGGCAGAAAAGCGGTCCCGCTATGGGTGTGCCACTGGGAGCACTGGGAACAACTGGGGCATGTCCTCTCCCTCTCTCTCTCTCTCTCTTTTCTCTCTCTCTCGCTCTCTCTCGCTCTCTCTCTCTCTCTCTCTCTCTCCTCTCTTCTCTCTCTCTCTCTCTCTCTCCCCTCCTCTCTCCCTCCCTCCGGCCCCCCCCCTCTCCCTGGAGCCTATGGGGCCTAGGTCAAGTCTATTCCTCTCTCTTCCCTGCACCTCCCCTTTTTTCCCTCCTACCCCCCCCCCCCGATCCCCCCTTCCCCCCTCGGGGAGGAGGGAAGATGGAAACAAGGAGGAAGAAGAGGATCACTGTAAACCCAAGACTCATCAACGATGTTGGAACACACCCACCTTGCAACTCCCTCCTCATAGGCCTCTACAAAAATTCATTTCCACCAGAAAGAACTGCCCCGTTGGGGGACAACCGTGTGAAAATCCTGAATGGGGCCGAAACACCACCTTCAGGACTTCAACTCCACGAGTCAACCTGACTGTTGCGTCTTGACAATCCTGAATCGTGCCAAAACGTCACTCCTGGGATCTCAACTCCGCGAATCGAAATGACAATTGCGCCCTGACTATCCTGAACTGCTCCAAACCTCCATTTCTGGTCCGGTAGCCATGAGAATCGATGAAACTCATACGACACTTTGCACGATTGTTCGCGCCGTTACGGCGAGAGCCACATTTTGACCAGGAGCCGGAAAGCGAATGTGCGCGGCGCAAAAATGAGAACCACCTATTGGAAACAAGCCTCCCTCAATCCATGAAGCTCTTGCCCATGTTTGAAACGAATGTGCGATGCGCTAAAGCGGGAGCCACATTATTGGAAGCGGCCCGCCATCCATCTGTGAAGCTGTTACCAGTATGAAAACTTGAAACTTCTAAATGGTAAAAAGACCTCAGGCGAAACGTCCGGCCCGCCTTTCCGAATGGCCTCGGGGTGCGACAGTGAGGGCTTATTTCTAAGGAAGAGGAAAGGGATGGAGGAAGGAGGGGGAGGAGTAGGCGGTCCCATCCGCGAGCGACTGCGATCTGCGCTCCTGGATCCTTACGCACTGAGGGGACTAAACTAAAAATTCGAGAAGGCTAACTCTGCCAGCTTCTTCTCACTCGCCCTGGCCCCCCCTCCGC